TTTCTTACACTGTATTTCGTTTAGTTCTGTCTTAGCTGCTTGTGACCTATAATATTCCTAATATTTTCGAAAATTTATACTGCTGATTTGTAACTATTTAATAACATATAATCTTTATATGTTATACATGAGACTGTCGTATATGAGACTATATGTTGTACATGAGACTAAGAGTACGATATTGGCAAATAAAATTTGGAATATTGTTTTTGTAGATTATTTGTGATAAAATTAACAAAAGTTACTTTTTTAATTTTATATTATTAATTTTAAATGATAAAAGAGAAGTTTTTTTTTGAAAATATTCAAATTTAAAAAGTAGAAAAGAAAATAAAGCTTAAACATTTTTTATTTTCTTTTAATCATATAAGTAACTAAATTTATCAGTTTCGTCGTTGACTTAAACATTGCACATTGATGAATCTTGGCTGATAAATGAAAAACTAAACATACATATGGCTACAGAAAGAAAGAACGTATCGTGAGTGCGCTTTTTTGAATTTCTATCTTATCAGGTCAAAAAATTATTTACTTCCTTTCCTCATCCTCGTGATAAGATACCATCTCTCCCCTGTCCTATCTTTGCATCTCATTCACCTTCCGCAGCCCAACAGGAAGGAGCAGCATTCCCTATTACAGAGATAAGATACCGATCGCGACACATGTACATTCACCGGTACTAATCCACGTGGTGGTCTGATAATTGAGCGAACGCCCCTGGATGCCGGAAATACGTAACAGCCGTTACTGTCACGGTAACGTCGATGCAGGATTACGAGTTGCTGGTCGTCCTTGCTCGTAACCAAGGGTCAATTTGCGGTATCCACAAATCACGCTGGGATCACCCGAAGTATCCGCAGCGACGCGATTTTACAAAGCTACGGCGGAAATACCACTCATTTTTTCCATGAAAGATCAAATTATTACAACACATATTTTAGAAATCGATTGGTTTAATATTTAATGTAAAAAATTAATGTTAGAAGTTGTCTATCACATAAATCTAAAAGATAATAGATAGAAAAATCACCTATAAATCTTTATCAGAAATCATAATTTCTGAAAATGAGCGCGTGGAATGCTAGATTATAAATTTTGAAATTGGTTATTAATAAAGCATTTACAACATGCATTCTCTTGAAATTTGTAAACGCGCTGATTATTTTTGAACACAATTTATTAAATTTATTAAATTTCTACAGCTTTTAGTCTCGTGGCTGTAACTGAAGAACTCCTATGAGACTAGTTGGATATTAATTGAGGCACTCTCTAATTTATAGTTCACTGTTGTAAACGAAATGTCGCGCGTGTTTTCATAATTAGTTATATCGTATAATGAAAATTTAGCATCATTATATGAAAATTTGTAATTATTTATTGTCCCTGTTTTGTAATGAAACATGCTTTAATTATTAACGCGTTCACATAAAGGTTCATCGTCAGCTTTGCGCTTCATGATCATCGCAATCAGAGACCGGTTAACTTTCCCCGACTGACTTTTCACCACTTGAGATCAAACGGTTTATCGAGCGGTGGCCATTTAATTGATTATTTGTCTATTTGTATCGTTATTAGTATTATCACGCTCGTTAATTTTAACATGCCATTTTAATTACATGCAATTAACAACGAATACATGTATGCATCTATGTAGTTCGGTTAGAGATCCGATTCTCTTCCGGTATTTTGTGATAAATCTCGATTAATCCAATCGAAGAGCCATCACGCGGATCCTGGCACGTGACCAATCCCGAGGAAGCGAATTGCCAGGATAGACTTTCTCGTTTAGTTAACCTAGTCGCTTCTTTGATTAGTTAACCCACTCTCGTCTTTGTTCGAGAAAGGGGATAGACAAGACGGCGGGAGAGATGCAGCTCCCTGGAGAGTTCTCTACAGTAGTAGACACCCTCTCCTTTGCTCCTCTACTCTCCCCAGGATCTCCACTCGCACTCCATGGAACGAGATGAGAGTGGCCGCTCGGCCGGAAAATCGCTTTAAACCGCGCCGACTAATATTAACTTTCTCCTATCGTTTCGCGAAATTCCCGAACTCTTTTTCTCTCTCTATCGCGCGTCCCAGCCACCGGGATCGCAAAAGCTTTCCCTCCCCATAGGGAGGGGAATACCGTTCCGAAATTTCCTTATTTGCCTTATTTCGTACGGCCGGCCAATCCGGCTTTGTGTAAACTTCGTTTTATCCCGCAAACGGTGAATGTTTTTCTCCCTCCATCTTGCCGCCCTCCGCGATCGATACGTCGGGAAATTTTGTAACCGGGAGGTAGATCGGGGCGATACATGAGTCGACCGACGAAGCGTCACCGTGGTAGTCGCGATCATTTCAAGGTCGTATGTAATTAACCACTTCGCGCATACCACCGTGTGATCGATTAGGGAACTTTCGGGTTCGTGAGGCGTATCGCGGACGATGACTATTAAAGTTTGGTGATTTATAGCGGCGCAAAGAAGAGAGAGAGAAACGGAAGATGTAGGAGAATAGAGCCTGGCGAGTCATGGCGAACCGACGCACATCGGGTCGTTATTTCAACCGGCGAACTTTATGTAAACGATTTCACGGTGCAACAAACTGTCACGTCTTTCTCCGTCTCTCTCTCTTTCTCTTAGCAGTATGAAACGGTAATGCTCTTTCCGCTCATATAACCAGCTACATTCTACGATGAGTATAACTCACGCGAGGCGGCTAACCGCCCACTAAAACGCTGCGGCATGCATCCGGTACATGCAAGTGCGAAAAAGCGGAAGCGTCGTCCGCTCGAGACGAAACTCTTTGCTTCCAGAACTTCGCGTCCGGGGACGGAAGCTTCAAACGAAAATTTTTCGATTAGTGATCCGACAGTGTGCTCGGAACTTTGCCTTTATATGCAAAACTTATTTGCATACCTGATGCGATATGTATAAATGTTTCACATTCTTGTACTTGCAAATGTTCACTGTCATCGTAGCGTACATTTTATATCAAATAAATTAAAAAGCTGCAAAATTCTTTTTAAAATAAATACCTTTGATAAAATAAGCGCGAATTATTATATTAGTTTAGATTAATAATTAAATTGATATCTAAACAAACTTCCAATTAAAAAAAAAAAGAATTTGTCTATGTATTTCTTATCCATTTAGTATATTAGCAAATAAATATTTTAATATATAACAGTAATTTACTCTTTGTATTTGGTGATGCTAGTTTTTAAATAATTAGCAGAAGCTTGCATCCATCAAGCTTCCGTTCAAATTATAGTTAAATACGTGCATCAATTTACTTTGAATTAAAATTAAAGTCGGTTATTCAAATTTTCTGTTTAATCGCTAAGAAAATAGCGTGGCTGAGGATGTGTTTGTGAAAATATGGAAATAATGTGAATTAAAGTCGGACGTAATGTATGTTTTCGTAAAGAGAAACGAAAACACTGTGACGGGAGATGAAAAATATTGACTCGAGTATCAGATTTTAATCAATCGGGAAGAGTGAAAATATTGGCCGAGGCGGTATGTCACATATACGATCCTCGCGAGGCACAAAATTAGAGGAAAGTTCGTGGTGCGAGCGGATGATGAATCCGGCTTCAGATGAGTCCTCGTGACACGATCGAGAGAGACGCGACAAAGTCCCATGGGAAGGACCTCAACACGCATAATCCGCACGAAATTACTGCGTGGCGGCGAAAAGCTCCGGCGTAAGTTTCGAAAGCGGACGAGCCCGTGCACGTTCAAATATGTACTCTAGGGTAGCCAAACAACATAGTCTTTTACGTGAGCAGCGCGCACATAGCTGTATGTGCTAAAATATCCATGGCGACATACATACGTCGCATACAGTCCGCGCTGCGCAAAATGCAGCGTTAATCCCGCCATTCGGCTGGAGAGTGCGAGCTCTCTGCGAAAAATTCCGTCGAAAAGCGCATGGACTAAATACATATACGTACAAAATACGTATATGTATGTGTACATCGTTACACAAGTCTCTCGCATTTTCTTTCACGCATTAATTTAGATTCCATTTGATTTTAGAAATAAACGGTCATATATTGCGAAAATTTTCTTCTCGAACGAAAATTTGTATTTGATATTTAATTTGAAAATTATAAACCATTGAAAATGGTTGCCAAAATGTTGAAAATGGAAAGTTGAAAAATTGCTAGAGCGGTGATGGATTTCCATAAAATTTTCGACACTAACGGCAAATCGACTTCAAATTTGTCAGCCTACAGCCTGCAGCGATATTCAATAACGATAGCATATCCTGTATATAAAATAAATCATATTCATAGCGAATATGTCTATAAAATATTCGACCGAATATTTTTCCATTCTCGATACTATAACTTCTAACTCACTTTGTGGCCATCCGCGGCCATATATTGCCGCAATAAAATCATCCTCTACTTCGCTTTGCACAGATAAAATGCTTAATATTTTAATCGCTCGTTTAACGAGTGCCATGCCCGTGAGAATATTTCGCGCTTTGCAACGCATCCAATCAAAATAGTCGATTGAGTTTTAGGTTGCAAAATATTCGACTGAATGAGCCGGTCTGGGAAACAGTTTTATTCGTCGATTTATTCTTTTATGAACGAACATTATTGAGTAAACACATATATAATCCTTAGGTATTAAAAATTGAGAACGTATAATATTAATTTTGTTTTAGAAAATTATTAAAGGGTTTTATTTATTTATAATTATTTTATAAAATTATTTGCACATTTTGAATATAGATCTTTAATATCTAAAAAATTTTTGAAATTGGCAAACATGAAATATTGCACCGCGAATATTATCTGTAATATTTATATCTAGAAAGAAAAACCGCTCGAGAAAGACAAATCACTTGTTGTATTACCAGGCGGCCACGAGATAAATCTGAACTGATAAAGTGCACAGGAGTCTTTGAACTGTTAACGTATTAATAACGGCATGTTGTTTTTCTCCAGGCACGCATGTTTAATACGCTGCACATACCGCATAAACTTCCTTTTCACGTTACAGCATAATGAACAACAACAGTGTGGAGCAGCCGGATCCGGACAACATAAAGATGTTTGTGGGACAAGTACCTCACGACATGGACGAGAATGACCTGAGGACGATGTTTGAAGAATATGGTCGAGTGCATCAGATAAATATTCTGCGGGACAAGATCACCGGCAGTCATAGAGGTAAGTGATTCAACTACTTTTCCAGCCGCTTGCGATGCATGCTTAAAGTCATTCAGATGCAACAAGATTTCGCAGTTAATGGGAAAACGAGAGAAAGCATATTGCATATAATTTTACACTTTTGATATAAAAAATAATGCATTTACGATGCCAGGGAGAAAGATAAAACGTTGAGATATGGCTGTAGATCGAGATTAACTTGAGATGCGTTTGGCTTTTATGATATCAGATAAAAATTGCTCGAAAAATGGAATGTATTTTATTCTTCATGTCCGTGTAAACGGATATTTTGTACATTATTATCTTCAATTTCCGCTAATTGCGATGCGATACGATAATTACGATAAAATATCGTAGAATATGTCATAAAGAGATCGTGCAGCGTAAAGCAGACTGGTTGTAATATATTAACACTACTCAATTAACAAATAATCGGAATACCATCTAGTTTTTAAAAATGATTCTTGAGGTTAAATTATGCCAATAAGTCCATTGATTGAATTAATTCTCCCAAAATCATATTTTCGGCTATTACGATTAAACCGATCCATCAACGTTTTCCATTTAATTGAATTCTCAATATACTTGATGTTATAGCGCTTTGCTATTACTGATGCAGGATCGTATCAGAACGTGCTGAAATTCTGTCATTATTTTGGATAATTTGATCCTTTTAGAATTTCGATCTACTTGAAAATCGAGTAAAGCATAATAATCAAATAGTTATGTATGATTTCAATCGCTATTCAATTCTTGCAGTGTCGTTTATTAAATTTTCTATGTTATGAAAGGTGGACACACATATTGTATAGGAAATTAAAATTAGATAAGTAAATAGGTAAGTAAATCAGATAAGTAAATTAAATGAGTAAATATATAAGAAAAAATAGACGCTTAGATACATATGGACATTCTAGAGCGTGAAATAAATTATTTTTTGGAGATCTCAATTATATAATATAATTAAGAAAAGAAATATTAAAAAGGAATCATTTTTATGCAAAATTATTCTGCGGGCTTAATGTAAGGCCAGGATAATTAAACAGTTAAAATTTAAAGGTTTTCTGTGTATCTACATCACGATAAAGAGAATAAAAAAGAGCATACATATAAGTCAACATTAAAGTCTAGGATGGTCATTGTTCTGTTACGAGTCTTTCTTATACATACATCGATCGGCAGAGAAGAAAAGGGGAGATAGGGAGCGCGAAAGCAATCCTCGCGAGACCTCACGTCCGAATGCAGGCGCGCTTGTAACACGACTGTCACTAAAATATGCACGTACTCGCCAGTAACGAGCTTTAACGTCATACGCATCGGCGAAAGTTTGCGCAATTACTTTCGCTGTACAGATAACTTCAAGTTCGTAGCTGGTATAGAAGTCAGGCGTCGCGTGATTACATGATTGTCTGGTATGTATGTGTAGTATGTCTATGGATATCGATTTTTACGCGTATGAAACGACCGAAACTCATAATGGAAATTGCCAATTGTAATTACATACGTATCACCATAAAAATATATCCCAAAATAGCGAGAGAAGAGAAATTTTCAGAAATATTTCATGATCAAATATTGTATCGTCATAACAATGACAGTAAAGCTAGACTAGGATTGTAATAATACATTAAAATTTTGCTGCCGCGAATAGAATATAACGGAAGATTTAAAAAAAGAATTAATTTCTTTAATTGAAAGATAAACAGATTACAATATTACAATATTATCTTTTGTATAACGCACAAGGTTTCTCACGGTTGTTCTTGAAATAATTTACGGTTAATGAATATATGAAAAAAAGGAAAATTTTAATATGATTTTAATCCTACCTCTTAAAAATTTATTTCATTTCTTTAGCTATAAAATTAATAATATATTTCTGAAAATTATTAGAAAATATTTTTTAGAAATTTTTGATAGATGAAAATATTCAGTATTCGGAGATAGACGAATGCCATATATATACAATTTTACAATTCTTAGTGATTTAAACAGATTTTCTTGACGCAACAGGCTTCAGAAATCTCCAGTAGATAAGTAGATCTATATGTAAAATGTACGCGATGCACTATCCGGAGTCGGAAGGCGCGAAACGTTGGGATTCTGAGAACTTCCGGAATAATTAATATGGGCGAATTGTAAACGTCATGCGCACCTGCAAAATTGATGGCGGCAGGCAGTACAACTGGGATGAAATTCGTTCCCCATTGTGAAAATTTAACTTGATTACCATGACGTAATGGTGAATTAATGTCCCGCTCGCGGGTCGTTTGTTTAATGCACCGCATTTTAGATTCGAAATCCCTGTCAACGTAGAGTTTCAATTTCACGATAAAATAGGCTAATTATCGTTTTCCAATAAAATTGAGATTGTCTTGTTTTTAGAAATATCTAATTACCTTTTATGAGAAATAGACACGGTAATATCAAATTTAAATACTATAACAAATATTAAATTCAACACTGCAAACATTATTCACATAGCAAAGCTGATATCAAATTAATAAATTATGTAGCTTTTGTGTTACTTCTCTTTGTAGGTAATTGTTTAGCAGATGTCACATTATAGTTATAATCATAAATTATCAATTGAAAATTGAATTTAATATATAATAAATGATTTATTTCGGATGTTATAACATAAACGTTCGAAAAATTGCAATGTAACAAGCATATATCATTTTATCATTATTCATAATTATAGATATTTTGATATGAAATCACAGTTATTCTATAAACGATAATTTATGTAATTAATTCTTATTCTTTCTCTTTTCTCGCGAAATATTAATTTTATTTAGGATTTCTTAAGAAGAGACGGCCAATTATCAATTTTCCGAAAGTTTACCAGTTTACTGAATGATGTCAGATATTCTGTAGACTCTCATCTCAAAGCGGCGAGCACTATCGGCTTAAATTATATTACTTAAATAAAAAGCACGCGCCGGAATAATATGCTCGACATAGCGAGCTTGCTCGTCTGATGCTGACTAAATAGCGAAACAGAAGGTAAATTCCACAATACATCGAGGCGCTTTATCTCACCGGTGGAAATAAAACGCGCTGAAATTTCCAGAAATTTTATATTAATTAAGCCGCGGAACTGAGCTTGGAATAAGCTCTACTAAAAATTAACAAAGAGTACTTGTGGCGTATGTTTGATTTACACGAGAATAAATTTAAACTTTAAATTATTCACAGAGGTACCCGCGTAACGCCACATCATGAAAAAAATTTTTCCGACCATTCCATTGGTGATTACGATACTATTATCCATTTCCCGTTTAATTTTAAACGCTTCCTACACAAAATCAGATTTAATATAATTTTATTTGACGAGAAAATATTTTTAATTAAAGTAAAATACAGAAAACATAATATTCAGCATAATGTAATTAAAAACATTATTTTTTTGCGTTCTTGATTAATTAAGTTACCTCCCAGTTACACATAAGTACAACAATGATCGACATTTGAACGTTATGTATAATCGTTCTGTTTTTGTCGCATATCAATGTATTTCATAATTGAAAAAGGAGTCTTTCTCTCGAAAAATTTAAGGTTTAAATATGGCTTACAACTATACAGCCATTAAGCGAAACTGTGCTTTAAAAATGCCAGTGAAAGTTCTTTCTCGAAGTACTTTTTCTCGACTTGCTTTTACTTACTTCATGGCTACTTTATTCACAGCGACCTATCGAGTGGAATAAAAGTGCTTTACGACTAATAGACTTTTTCGCACATACATTTAATCCTTTCGTTTCCAACTTATTTTTTAGCAATATAAATTATCTCAAATATATACGTTACTTATATATTTACCGACCGTAATATATATAATAATAATATTGATTTTAGTTCTGATTTTAATTCTTAAAATTGTTCTCTAGATTCACAAATTTGTACACACAAAGTAACTTCATGAAGATTAATGTAATTAATTCGAATATTATATTAGTATATTATAGTAATATATATTACATATATCACATATTTTCGGCCATATGTTCATTCTCGAAACATGAGAAAGAGATTAAATGATGAAGTCATCTCTCTACTTCTAAATCAATATACCACTAAAACGAACAACTCATGGAATGTTCAATTTGATGGGTCAATAAGAGACAGCAAACTCGTAGCAAACTCCTTTCATGCCCGATTAAAACAAGTGCGGAACCGTGTTCGCAATGAAGACCTTCAAGATTGCCATCGTAGCCAATATATCGGAATCCCGAAAGTGTCCGACTGCGCCGCTTCTTGTCGCAAAGTAGTGGAATTCGATACTTCGTTACTTTGTGAGACGCAATACGGGAACGAGAACGACGACAACAGGGTTTCTCTGCAAACAGAGAGGAGATGCTGCTGTTGCAGAATTTTCCGCCTGAAATTCCGTTGCCTTCCGGCAGACGAAAAGACGTCGGGAAATGTTTTAGTTAAATTAACAGAGCTTTCGCGGGCGTGGCGATGTTTCTGCGTCGATTGCGAATTTCTCTTCGACGAGTTCCCGTTACTCGTCGTCTGCGAAGATATACGGTATCGTTGCAAGGCGAGCGTGTCTCTCGCATTTCCGTTCGAAAATCTTTTCGCACCCCGGGATACTTCGCATGCGAATCGCTCGGAAATTTCGTGTTTGCCCTACACAAGAAAGCGAATCGATCTCTCCCCTTTCCTCCTTCCTTCCCTTTCTCTCTCTTCCCCGTCCTCTCCGCTCGTTATACTCAGAAATACACCCCGCTATTAATCACGCAGCCCTATTAATCGTCCTTAAGTCGTGCCATGTTTGCGTCGCCTTGCTCTTTCACGTTGAAGAAAGCCGAACTTAGACCGCTATATAGAGATCGGTTCTACTATTTGTCAGTCACATTTAGCGCCTGAAAACTCTCGAAAGATCGATATCCTTCTTAAAGAACCGAATGTACTACCATCTCTCGCGCTATAATCAATTGCTTTTGTCATAGTATTTTGATAGACGGCTTATATTTAGGCTTTTCCAACCTAAG